AAAAATCCCAGAAAGTTATTTTGGGTATTTGAGAAACTGATTCTCAGGTTTACATGGAGAGGCAAAGGACCCAGAATAGTCAACACAATACTGAAAGTTGGAGGACTCACGTTATTCAACTTTAAGACATATAAAGCTAGAACAATGAGACAAAGTGGTATTGATGGAAGAACAAATAACTACGTTAAGGAGAAAGAATAGAAAACCCAGAAATATACCCACATAAATGTAGTCAACTGATCTTTGACAAAGGAGTAAGGACCTTATAATTGAGCAAAGAAAGTCTTTTCAGGGCACCTGTGTGGCTCAGTGGGTTAAGCCTCTGCCTTCGGCTCAAGTCATGATCCCAGGGTCCTGGGATCGAGCCCTGCATTGGGCTTTCTGCTCAGCAGGGAATCTGCTTCCCCTTTTCTCTCTGCCCACCTCTCTACCTACTTGTGATCTCTTTCTGTCAAATAAATAAAGTCTTAAAAAAATAAAAGAATATATATAAATATACATATATATATGTATATATATATGTATATATATATATAAGAAAGCCTTTTCAACAAATGGTCCTAGAAGACCTGGACATCCTCATGCAAAAACAAAAATGAATGTAGATACAGACCTTACACTCCACACAAAAATTAACACAAATTGGATCTCGGGCCTAAATGTAAAACACAGAACTCCTAGAAGATAACAGGGGAAAATATAGGTAGTCTTGGCTATGAAGATGAATTTTTTTAATAGAACATCAAAGACACAATCCATGAAAGAGGTAATCGATAAGCTGGACTTCATTAAATTAAAAATTGCTGCTCTGCAAATGACACTGTCAAGAGAATAAAAAGAAAAGCCAGAGACTGGAAGAAAATGTTTGCAAAACACATATGTGAGAAAGAACTTTTATCCAAACGATACAGAGGACTCTTGAAATTCAACATCAAGAAAATAACCTGATTTAAAAATGGGCTAAAAGTCTTAAAGGCACTTCATAAAAGAAGATAAACGGATGGAAAATATGCATATGTGCTGTACATCATATGACATCAGGGAAATACAAATTAAAATAAAAATATAATACTATTACACATGTATAAGAACGGCTAAACTTCAGAACACTGAGAACTCCAAATGTTGCTGAGGGGTGTGGAAGAACAGGAGCTCCCGTTCATTGCTGGTGGAAGTAAAAATCGGTCCAGACACTTGGAAGATAGTTTAACAGTTTCTTATAAAACTAAACATCCTCTTAACATGCGATCCTGCAATCATGTTCCTTGGTATTTACCCAAAGGAGTTAAAAACTTATGTATCTCTCTCTCTCTCTCTTTCTCTCTCTCTCTCTCTCTCTCTCTCTCTCTCTCACACACACACACACACACTTCACACAGGTATTTATAGCAGCTTTACTCCTATTTATTCCTAAACTTGGAAATAAAGATGTTCTTTAGTAGGTGAATGGATAAATAAGCTGATACATCCAGACGATGGAATATTACTTACCATTAAAGAGTAGTGAGTGATCAAACCAAGAAAAGACATAGAGGAAACATAAATGAACATTACTAAGCAAATAAAACCAATCTGATAAGGCTACATTCCATTTGATTCCAACTATAAGACATTCTGAAAAAGGCAAAGCTATGAAGGCAGTAAAGAGATTAGAGGTTGCCACAGGTTAGTGAGAAAGAAGGAATGAATCAGTGGAGTACAGACAATTTTTAGGGCAGTAAATCTAGTCTGTATGATATTATAATGGTGGATAAATGTTATTATACATTTGTCCAAACCCATAGAAAGCACAACAAGAGTGAAATCTAACATAAACTACAGACTCTGGGTGATCATGATGTGTCAGTGTAGGTACATCCATTGTAAAAAATGTACCACTGGGAAGGGTGAGGATGTGGGTGGCATTGATAACGGTAGGGACTATGCATGTGTTGGGAAGGTAGTATTTAAGAAATACCTTCTACTCAAATTTTCTGAGGACTTCAGCTGTTCTTTAAAAAAAAATAGTCTATTTAAAAAGGGATTTCTGAACTCTTGTACAAGATTTACTGAATCAAAACTTTTGCCATGGGGTCCTAGTATCTACAATTTTTAAAGTATTCTATGACTCTGATGATCACCCTGGTTTTCAAATAGTAGGCCAAATTGCAATTGAAGCTGAAGGTAATCAATTAGAAATTTTGAAACGTTCAAATAAAAACTGTATGAGGACACTAGGACGTTATGAAGGAAAATGACTTAAGGAGAATGGATTCTCCCAAAATCTCATTATGCATTGTTATTCATATCTGAGTCATGTTCAGTGTTTGTATGAAAAGTCCTTCTCAAATGACCAAAGTTATTTTAAGAAAGAGAGAGAGAGAGAGAAAGATGATGTTTGACACTTGTTACATGGACCATACTTTGAGTAGTAAGGTCATAGACTATAAGCTCAATGAGGACAGGGCTCTCTTTGTTTCTATGTACCTGGAATCTCTCATAATTCCTGGCACACAGTAGATCTTCACATTGTGTCTGTTGAATGACTGACTCTCCCCCTCTTCCAAAGATACCTTGGTCTGGCTAAAACCTTTTTGTGTGCTTTCCATAAAATCTGTGTGCGCGGATATGAAATATCTTTGCCAGCATTTATAATAGTATATTCAAGTAGAGCTTTTGTTTTTTTGTTCCTGCTTTCCTTTCACTAATGATAAATTGCCTGAGGGCAAGGACAATATAATTTTCCACAAGTTTCTCAGTACTTAGGACAGTGCTTAGGACACCAGATGCACTTAAGAGGTGTTTGTTAAATGAATAAATGACTTAGAAAAGCAAAATCTGCCTTTTTGTCTTCCAAAGCTACAGTTGAGCTTCCACGGCTATGTACTTTTTATATTCTTAGGAGAGTGGATGAAGGAGTATGTATTGAGGACAAAACAGGAATGGGTGTCTGGGAAGGTACATCCTGGAGCAGAAATTCACAAGTGACGTCATCATTAGATCAGATGCAGAAGCTCAAAGGGCTCAGCAAATGAGGAAATGTCTCCACAGAAGTAGACTCACTACATCAGCAGTTGTTATTTTCAACTGGTGCCTTCTGTCATGAAGGATAGCTGCTCCGCCAGGTCAGAATTGTTTTGGCCACCTTCAAGGTCATTGTACCTTGCCAGATCTGGCACTGAATCTACAGGCTGGCAAATCTGTCCTCTTAAAGTGGATTAGGTGGACCCCACAGAGAGCTTTGTGTCCTGGCTGCATTCCCAATTCCTTCAGCCTAAAGCTCTGGCAATATTTCTCTGAGGACAGCCACGTCTTTGGATTTGAGTCTAGCCCCCTAGACCTTAGCCTCGTGCACTACTTCATACACTCTCATTGACTACATCTGCTCTGCTACCAACACAAGTTTTTTGTCATCATCACCTTAAGTGTATTCTGATAGGGAAGACATTAAATTAACCTGTGGCCAAAGTCCAGAATCAGAAATTGACTTATATATAACTGTCAAAAACAAAATCAAGAATGAATGAATGAATGAGTTTCTGTTGAAAAGTACTTGAGTAATGATATGAAATTCCATCTCTGTTTTCTCTATATCAGTTCCTTAAAATTGCTTAAATGCATTACCCTTCCATGTAAAAATGGGGGTTACATTGAAGGACTTTCAAAACCTTTTCCAGAAAATCAGTGAGCTAATCATATGAACCAGATGAAAGAATTCTCTGTGCAGATCCTTCTCCTTTGTCCTAATTTCTGTTTGAATTCCATCGGCCTCTTATCTCAAACAAGGTGATTGGATGCAGTTACTGTTTATACAGAGAACAAAGCAAAGAAGTATTTATAAATTTGAGAGACATAAATTTGAAAGTTCATTTCCAAACCCAGCCTAAGAAAATGGGGGATGGGGGATGCCTGGGTGGCTCAGTCGGTTAAGCTGCTGCCTTCGGCTCAGGTCACTATCCCAGCGTCCTGGGATTGAGTCCCGCATCGGGCTCCTTGCTCAGCAGGGAGCCTGCTTCTCTCTCTGCCTTTGCCTGCCATTCTGCCTGCTTGTGCATTCTCTCTCTCTCTCGCTCTCTGACAAATAAATAAATAAATCTTTAAAAAAAATAAAAAGAAAATGGGGGATGGTCTAAAAATTTCACCTAGAGAGAGGTAACCAGTAATTAAAGAGTACTCTTACTTATTCTATCAGCTACTAGATTTACATATTTCATTGTTCAATAGACTGCCATGGAGGAATATGGAAAAAAGGAAGAAAGTAACCAGAGAGACTTGTGGCTTTGTGATTTGTGACTCTTCTCTCTTTTTCCATAGACTCACGGATATATATAAATACACAATCTTTGTCTATCAATCTATCTATATATCTAGATATATAAAGAAAGTTATGGATGTGTAACTATGTTCATGGATATATAAATAATCTAGACATTAAATATAGATTTCTAGGAATAGATATGATAGATGATAGGTCATTTTAAATTTATACAGTAGATTTTTTGTGATGCTTAATTGGATATTTTGGTAGGTAAGCAAGGCTTGGGTGATAACTTCATTGTTCTTTTGGACAACTCTTAATAGTCTTTCCTTTAAACCCCATTTTTAAGCAGAAGGGACATGAATTTAAAATGACTTTGGAAACCTTCCTGAATTATCTTCAGAGAACCCTTCACCAGGGCAGCCGGAACCAGCCTCCACCTAGGGCGCATGAGAGGCAGTGGGAGAGAGCCCCTCTACTCCGTGAGAGATTTAAGAAACCATTTCGGGCAAAGTCTTGAAATACAACTCTCGCCCCTTCCTCTCTGTGGGACTTCCAGCTGCTCCATCTGAAAACCGGATGCTCTCAGACCCTCCCAGCCTCTCCATTCTCGGCTTTCAACTAGAGTCACGGGAAAGCAGAATGGGAAATGACCCTCGGGAACACGCCCTCCTTCCCGGAGGAGGGGAGTGGGAGTGGCGGGGACTCGGCCCGCACCGCCTGGGCGCGGGATACCTCGGCGGGGCTAGCCGGGAGACCAGGCTCTGCCCCAGTCCCTCGGCCACCGTCCCTCCGCACCCCCACAGCCACCTAGCGCGCGAGGGCACTGTCCCCCAGCACCCGCCCCAGCACCACTTTGCTCTGACGTCCGCCTTCCCAGCTCTGACGATCGCCCCCGCCGGTCGCCCTTATAAAGGGGACTTTTGCCAATACTGGGATCGATCACCACCTCGACCGCGTCGAGCGCCCTCCGCTCCAGCTCACACACCTGTCAACTCTGCGCGCGCCCAGGTTCTGGGAGACCAGGGGCTGGAACCCCGCTGCTTGGCCCTACTCCTCGCCCCTCCGCACCCCTGACCCTCCCCCTCTCTCCACACCCTTGGAGCCCCCAACCCGGCGGTGCCTGGGCGGCGGCCCCGGGACGAGCCCCAGACGGCGGAGCGCTTCCCGGCGCGGCAGCCACTCCAGGTAGGAACAGAGCGGGCATCTGGGTGCCTCGGAGTCGGCACCCCGGGAACACCGTGGCCGCCCCGCCGGCGTTTTTAGGTCCCAAGGACGCGGCTTTTTCGCCTCTCGGTGGGGATGTGCGGGCGGGTCCACTGTCTGGCACCCATGACCCTCGAGGCGCCTCTGCGGGCGGGAAAGTCCGGGCGCTGTAGAGGACCGCGGGGGCGCGGGAGGGATAACGTGGAGCAGGAGATCCCCCGGGCTAGGCGGGGGAACGAAAGAACTTCCCCGTTCCGATGCTCACAAAAGCGGAGCGCATCCAGGCCGCTTCTTTCGCTTCCCTGAATCCGAAGGAGGCTAGCTAGTTCTTTCGCCCAAGGTTCTCATCACCCACCTGCAGAAACAAACACTTGTATTTCTCCCAGAAACGTGCTTGTGTGAACGCGAGTGCATGAAGTAGCCATTATCGCAAGGGCTGAAAAATAACAGAGAACAAGAATTCCAGAAAGTGCAGGCGTTAGAACTTGACATCTGTCTCTTAAGAGTCTTGTTTTTAATACCTTTGACGTCCTCTTATATTTTAGGCAATTCTGTATTTTTTATCCTTTTCTTGTATATACCATTAAGAGGGTGGGGGAGAGATGACAGAGCAAAGAACAATGGATGAGGAAGAAAGAGCTGGCCAAGAGGGTGCACTCTTCAAACAATGTAACATCTTTAGTTGGTACAGTAACTTGGACCACAGGCACTTGTTGAAAATCGGAATTGATGTGTTTTTTTTTAATAATTTTATTTTTTATAAACATATATATTTTTTTCCCCCAGGGGTACAGGTCTGTGAATCTCCACGTTTACACACTTCACAGCACTCACCATAGCACATACCCTACCCAATGTCCATAACCCCCCTGAATTGATGTGTTTTTGAAACTGATGTTCTTAAACCTTTTTTTTTTCCCCTGGGATTTGCACGCCACATTACTTTTGGAACCATTCCCTGAAATTGTTTGAAAGGAGAGGAAGAGGAATGAATGAATGAGTGAATGAATGGATGTAAGATTATGTTAGATTCTCAGAGTAGTTTTACAATACCCTTTACATTACTGAATCATTCTAGATGGAATAGTAAGTTAGTTCCAAAAGCCAAATACATAATCTTTGGAAATGGTTTCTTGACCAAGTTACAAGACAAGGTTAATTTTAAATTGGAAGAATTTATTAAATACAAAAAGTGATGATGGTTGTATTTGTTCAGCAGCATTTTCTATTTTTTTCTTTTTCTTGAAAGCTAAAAACAATATTAAACTGTTAAATAGTAATTATAATAAAATAGTGGGCTGTGTTGGCAACTGCTAGTGTCATATGTAATTGCAGTGTGCTGTTCCTGTAAGTGGTACAGGATATCTCATGAGCCAGCTGGCTTATTCCCAGCTGCCTATGCATGCTTGGCTGGTTTATAATGCATTACTGTATTTTCTTCAGAAATCTTAATGAAGTAGCTAGCTGTGGAAGAATCTGGACCCCTAACTAAAAATGACTTTCCATGTGGAAGGACTGATAGCTATCATCGTGTTCTACCTTCTAATATTGCTGGTTGGAATATGGGCAGCCTGGAGAACCAAAAACAGTGGCAGCTCAGAAGAGCGCAGCGAGGCCATCATAGTTGGTGGCCGAGACATTGGTCTGCTGGTGGGTGGATTTACCATGACAGGTAGGTTCTGATGCCTCCGCTCCATGCTGTCCACCCCTCCTTGGCTTCTCAGAGTGACAAAGCAGACCTTAGCCTTTGTCCTTTGGGGATTCCTTTTGTTCACTGCTTATATATTCTAAAAATAATTTCACATTTATTTAAAACAACGGTAAAATGGTTGCAACTCAGTAGTACTGGAACAAAATGATTTTATAATAAATCGCTGGCCAGAATATCAATGAAAGGAATCCGGGCTATCTGGACAGTTTGGTGGGTGGGAACAGAGTAAAAACAAAGAGGTGGAGAAAAGTGTCTTGGTCTTAAAAGTTATGTGATAAAGTCAGCGTCTCATCACGTTCACTAACACAGGTGCAAAGTTGTGACTTTGGGTTATCTTAAATGATGGATGTCAGTGAACATTAACTTGTGAGGGCTTTCAACTGAATAAATCAGTTAGGGGCAACACAATTCCAAATTGATAGATGCCCTGTTTTGAAACCTAATTCTCCCATTTAGTAAACTAATTCCCTCAGAGAAGACAATCACATATTAGGAATCCACAGCAATGGGAAAAAAAAAATTCCAAGAACCTTGATATAAAAGGGGAAAAGCTAGGGTGTGTCCTAACAGAAATGCCCCAGCCAGCATCTGCAGCCCCACTCCAACCACCTCTGGGTTCTGAGGATCTGATGCCCCAAGGTGGTTCTGTTTAAGAGGTAACTTGCTTCTCTTTTATACTCTTCTTGGTTGTAGAAAATATTTCTGAAAAACAACAATTTAAAATTATATCTTTAACATTATTTGATACATATTCACTAACAACACACATTTCACTTCTGATTCTTACTAGGTTTTTAAACATTAGGAAATTAATCCACACTAACTGGAACTCTGAGGGCCCATTGGAAAATATCCCATCAGAAATTATATCCAAATGATGCCCAGTTTCAGGCCTGATGTGCTATTAAGGTGATTCATCTATAAATGGAGTAGTTCACCAAAGCAATCCATGAAGACTACGTCACTGCTGGCCATCTGAAACTTATCATATTCTAGAGTAGTTTATGGACTATAGGTTTTATTTTTCAGATACAAACATTTTATGTTGTTTAACTCTGTCAACTATATATGGTTTCATACGATCTTCATGAAATTCTTTATATTTGAGTGCTGTGAAAGGACTCTGGGGTTAAGTAAGGACACAGAGTTACGTGGTTAACAAGGACTAGAATTAGCACCAAACCCAGGTCTTCTGACAGCCATGCCCTGAGTCTCCTGCACATCGCGCTGCAGGCAGACCTCCAGCTGACTGCATCCCCTTTCTTTATAAAGGCACATGGTATGTAAAGAGGTCCTTTTTAACCCTCTGTTTCTCAGTTTTTCTACATAAACACATACATAGAGCAAATTGTATCATGCAAAATACTTTCTGTGAAATTTAATATGCACATTTAGATAAGTACAAAAACAGAGTGAGAATCATCCATAAGACTACTGCCAGCATATACGTTTCCTGAAACGTTGGTATACATTTCCAGATGTTGTTTCTCTTATTATCCACCTACTGATGAACACTGGACACAACTTTACATCTTCATTTTCATTGTTTATTATACTGCAAACATTTCTTCATTGCCCTAAAGATCCAGATGTGATACTGGCATTGGAAGGGAATTAAAGCATTGTGATTGTACTCCCTCCAGGTTTTTTTCTGTACAAAGAAAATGAGAAGAAAAACAAAATAAAACAAAGAAAGTTGATCTCCCTCAAAAAACTGTTGAAAAGAATAAATGAGCTGCTCTATATCAAAGTATTTGATGACTAATTTTTTTTCATTCTTATAATGTTCTATTACTCTGATTTAATGCTGTATCTACTGTGTTCATAAAGATAATATTTCAGAATTTGTTCACTTGTCATCTAGAATGATGTAACAGTCTATTAAGGTATATAGAAAAATTTGAATCATGATGTTTCATATGATGGGTCATGGTCTAGCTCATTTTTTAAAGATTTTTTTCAGTCTTTCAGGACTGAAAAGAATTGTGGTCAGTCTCATAATTCATTTAAAATACGAACTGTATTACCTAAACCTTGTCAGATTCATTGATTGTATATATTTGATAAAGAGTAAAGTTTAAAAAATAAAAAATGCATATAGGTTGAAAGAATTCTTGTTCTCACTGGTGAATCTGACATAAATTCTGGTAAAGAAGGGACGAGGCTGGTAAAAATATGAGGACTTTAACATGATAAGTAACCAAGTTGATAACCATTCAGTCGCCAAGTTTGTTTTGGACAGGGGAGAGGAGACCTACACAATGAAAAGTGATCACTGATAAGCTTTGTGCTCATAAGACCATTTACTTAATCAATGAAACATTGTTGGCATGTTGTTAGTAGTTCCAGTTGACTGGCAGGAGAATCAGGTCTGATTCTGCACCTGTGAGAATCATTTATTCAAGTCCCAGTTAGACACCCAGTGGAGGGGACATCCCTATTTATTTTTATTTTTTTTAATTTTTTAATAATTTAAATTAATTATTTAATTAATTCTTAATAGCTTTTTTTTAATTTGTTAACTCCCATGTAAAAGCTCCCAAGCAGATGAGAGCGGCTGCTAAGTGCATACTTGTCCACTTTAGGATTTTGATTGTAAACTTTCCACTTAAATGCCCTTCAAATTCCTTTGTAGGGAGCTCTTTTCATGTTAACTTTTAAACAGTAGTACTAACCCTACAACATTCTCTTTTTTGCTTTGTATTTGGATCAAAAGTCAGATAAATTTTGGCATGAACACAATAGAGACACCTGTGTTTGACATATTATTTATTCTACTTACATTCTATGAGATTTCAGATAACTTTTCAGAGTCAAGTTTTAGTCCCAATTAGATGATACAGCCTAGAATTAAGACTCATATACTGTAAGCCAGCCTATGTTTCTTATAATCTTACACAAATTCTACAATGGATTCTTTAAAATATTTTGGCAATATTCTTCAAAGGTATGAACTATAAAGATTTAAGTGTTCCATTAACTTTAGCTTTATCACAATCAAATTCAAATAGAATAATCAGATGTGGTATTGCTTTCTCACTGAAAATGGTAGAGTTTATAGATCCTTCTTGGTCCAACCTTGTTTAACCAACATGTGTTTTCTTTGATTCCTTGACTTCCTCCTTCAACTATTTTGCTACAGATATTCTATTAAATAATACCTGAAGAAGATAGTATTTCTTATTATGCTTCATGAAATATCAAATATCTTACTAAAAGACCCAGATTAAAACAAAGAATGCAAGTAGGTATGCAGTCTACATCAAATACTAAATGCTATTTCTTATGCCTAAGTGTATGTTGGACACTTGGGAAGGAGGAGGGGAAAACTCATTTTAGGACAACTTGGAGTAGAAGTGTCCTCTCTCCTTTAACAATTTAAGAAAGTAAGTAATATGCTATGATGGAGAACAGATCTGCCAAAATCCTATGTACTCAGGGTGTTTAAGAAGTGGTCTTATCAATAAAAATAAAATTAAAAAAAACCAAGCACACACATCTGTAACCGCACACACGTCCCCTCCCCCATTCCCACCCTGCTCCACCCTGCCCTACCCCCTCTCCTCCCCCTGCCCAGGAAGGTAATTGTGATCAATGTGAGAAGATGAATACTATTAAAACAGAAGGATCTTAAAATAAAGAAACTTGACCTCATGTTATGAAAGCTGGGGGAAAAAGTTGTACTACTATTGAGAATAGAAATTGTCATATATTTTGAATATAATGTCAGACTTTGGGATATAACAATATTGTTTGAAAGTATTGATGACTAAATGGACTCAGAAAATACCCAGGGCAACACTGTCCAAGAGAAATACGATGTGAGCCATAAAAAGAATGTTACATTTTCTGCAAACCACTTTAAAGAACATGAAAAAATAGGGGAATAAATGTAAATAATAGAATGTATTTAACTCAATACATTGAAAATGTTTTCATTTCACCAGGTAATTAACACAAAAAAATTATTGAGACAGCTTACATTTACTTTTGCATAGTCAGTCTTTGAAATCCAATGTGTATTTTATACTCAGAACATTTCAAACCAGACTAACCATATTTCAGGAGCTCAATAGTCACAGGAGGATGATGGGGACTGTGTTAACCTGAGCAGGTCTAGGGTATGATAGGTATGGTGGCGTCTTTCCCTCACTGTTCATTCTATTTCAGCCACCTGGGTTGGAGGAGGTTACATCAACGGGACAGCTGAAGCAGTGTATGTACCAGATTATGGTCTAGCTTGGGCTCAGGCACCAATTGGATATTCTCTTAGTCTGATTTTAGGTAAGTGAAAGTTAAACTGTAGTGACCCACCAGTAAAGCATAAAGAACAGGAGTACAAATAACAAGTGAAATAACAAGTCAAACTGTGAATAACTATTGTGAAAAAGAAAATGTTACCAGAGATCTCTCAAGTAGATGTTACCAGAAATCAGTAACACTATGCTTAAGATTATTTGATCCTTTGATTGTGGAATATGTTTTTTTTTAAATCCTTTGATCTATGGCAAGAGTGAATTTCTTAGCATATGATTTTTTTCTTTTCAAAAATAGTATAGAGGTATCATTAACAATGAATCAACTTGAATTATATCTGAATTTCTTTTTGTAGCCACACTAAGGAAAGATCAAAAATATTATATAACAGAGTTCCTTTTTTTTTTTTTTTTTTGCACTTAAAATACATTCATTGGATCGTGTGCTTAATCAGTGTCTGAATGCTATGCTTGGTGATACAAAGACATTTTAGTGAGTGCCACACCGGTCCATGTTTTTCAACCCACATGCCTTGGATACCATTCAGTGGTCCTTTGGATGCGTATAATGACAAATGTATTAAGAAATACATATTTGGTTGCTAAATATGTCTTGGTTCTGTACTCACAGTATATTTCAGACTGGTTCTTCCACACATATCAGTGTTCTAAAAAAATTATTTCCCTTGAGAAATTACAGCATAGTAAAAAGTTGGCAAAGACTTTATTATGAATTTTTTATTTGCTCATAAACACTTGTTTAATTTATTTTAGGTGGTTTGTTCTTTGCAAAGCCTATGCGTTCCAAGGGATATGTGACCATGTTAGACCCGTTTCAGCAGATCTATGGAAAACGCATGGGTGGGCTCCTATTTATTCCTGCGCTAATGGGAGAAATGTTTTGGGCTGCTGCCATTTTCTCTGCCTTAGGTAAGGACCTCTGCCTTGCTCTGGTTAACAGAACATCACATACCCAACTTTACTCTCTTAAGCCACAGGCCAGGCCACGTGCAGCCTCCCTCATCTTGATGAATGCAACTATCTCCGTGCTTATTGTGCAGGGCTCCTCCTCTAGTCTACACATAGTACAGACTCATCCTTCTAAAATGCAGATCTGCTCATGTCTCTTTACTGCTCCTTTCCAAACTTTTAAGTGAGTGCATAAAGCTTTTTATGACTTAGGCTCTGATTCCTCTCATTATCCCTCCCTTCCTTCTTCTATAACTCTAGATTTCACCTCCTCTCTTGCCTCTGGCACTGTGAAAGTGCAGGTGCCCTCTACTTTGGACTTGTTCCCCCTCTGCCTTTTTGATTTCTGCCCACCTAACCAGAAAATGACCTTCAGTCTTCTCTTAGACCTCATTTACTTGAATCATAATTCTGACCTTGCTGGATGACTTTCCTGTGGGCTTCCCTAGGCACGTGGAATTCTCTTTTCACTGGACTTGTCACTTTGTGTGATTATGTGCCTGTTTATCTGTATCACACCCAAAACAACCTCACAAAAGGGATTATAAATTTCTTGAAGGCAGGATTTGTGTCTTGTTAATGGTTGTAATTTTATCACAAATAAATGAATGAGTGAGCAAATTATCTCTTTCTTCAAAAGAGAAGAAAAACAATGGTACTTCTTTTCTCAATGTAATCCTAAAGTACTGAGTTGTAAACACGTTTAGGGATCTAGAAAATGAACTTAGACTCCAATTAATGCTAAGGGACAGCCCATCCTGGGCTCACTGATTCTCAGCCCACGTGTAAGGTTTAGAAAATGAGAGATTTCAGTGGCATGTTGGGAGATCTTCAGTCAGGCTTAATAACCTGACTTTTGATCAAGGTGAAATATAAACCATTTCACTGAGCATTGATTTCCTTCTTGAAGATCAACAGGGTTGGAAGTTTCAACACCTTCCTCAGTGAACTATGTGCATGTTTGACATACAGGCATCTGTGTATGTTTCTCTCCATCATTTCTTCCAAAGGAAGATAAAGGGCTTCAGTCTATAGTTAGAACCCACGTGGTCAAACCAAAAGCAAGATAAGATGAATGTCCTTCTACAGTATATATTCCAGACCACAAACTTGTCTTCTGGCTTCAGTATTATCATCAGATCTGACCTCTGTAATATCAGATATTTGTTTATGTTACCTTTCACTCCTTTCTTTTTCAGATTCCCATATAATCTTACCTTCTTGGTCTTCAACTGTAAAATGAAGGGAAGATTTGATGTAGAAAAGAAGAGAACTTGATAACTATAAAATACTGTATAATTCAGTGGAAAAAGTTGCACATTCTTGGTGCAATATAATAATACTCCACAGTTACCACTGCACTTATATCCTAATGAAATTATGTGTAAAAATATACCTCCCTTCCCACCTTGCTCTCATTAGCCAAGAAGCAATGGGTAGTTTATTTGTCATTAGTTTCAACACTAAAAAATGCTGATTTTAAGACAAGCTGCCCGCTGAGGTATTTTAAAACGAGTGGGCTGAATAGCTAACAGAATACAAAATGTTCACTCTCATGGAATAAAGACCAATTTATATAATAGAGCCCTACGAGGAGAATTGAATTAATAAACTAATATTTCTCTTTTTTATAAAGTTTTTTTTTTTTAAGAGAAAGAGAGCATGAGCAGGGGGAGGGGCAGAGGGTGAGAGAGAGAGAAGCAGACTCCCTGCTGAGCAGGGAGTCTGCCATAAGTCTCAGTCTCACGACCCTAAGATCATGATCTGAGCCTACATCAAGAGTCACTCAACTGACTGAGCCACACAGGTGCCCCAACTAATATTTCGAAAGTATTTTATTTTGGAAATATAAACTTGACCTAAACTCTAAACTTTGCTGCAGTTAGTTATTTTTGTATATGTGTGTGTGTGTCTATGTCTGTGTGTGTGACAATATATATGTAAATATATATTTTTATATATATATATGTATATATATATATATATGTTGCTATATATATCCCTCTCTACGTAGATGCATACACATCTCAAACAACATCTATAAAAACACTGCTGCTATTCCTCGAAATATATGCTCTGGTAAAGAGAATGTGCCTTTTAAGATTAAATTTTCTTCAAAAATGATAGCTGGACATAACACAAAATTAGCGTTTATTAGAAATAACTTGGAATGCTTAAGAATAGACAAATATAAGATCTATTACCACGTTCCTGTGAACGTGCTTAGTTCAGCACTAAAACTTAGGAGAATTTTAAACTGTCTTTCTGGCGTAAATGCACATCCTTTATATGCAATTTTTTAAAGATTTTATTTATTTATTTGACAGAGAGAGAGATCACAGGCAGGGGGATGGGGAAGCAGGCTCCCCACTGAGCAGAGAGCCTGATGCGGGGTTCGATCCGAGGACCCTGAGATCACGACCTGAGCTGAAGGCAGAGGCTTTAACCCACTGAGCCACCCAGGTGGCCCTATATGCATTTTTTTTTTTAAGAAATACATATTTAGGCGTGCCTGGATGGCTCAGTCAGTTAAGCATCGACACTTGATTTCAGTCCAGGTCATGATCTCGGGGACATGGGATTGAGCCCTGCATCAAGCTGCACACTCAAGACAGAGTCTGTTTAGGATTTCTCTTTCCCTCTCCTTCCACCCTTCTCTCAACTCATGCACTCTAAATAAATAAATACATAAAACCTTAAGAAATGTATGTTTATACTTCTCACAACTCAAATTCAGTGAATGTTTATAACTTTATTTATAGTATGCTTATTTTTGTGGTTGCATGAATAAAGTAATATTTCATAACAGATCTAGAAGTATAAACTTATTTTATTCACTACAAATGATGGAATCTTTAGAAAATATTTTTGAGAAGAAAAATTTATCCCAATCTTTATAGTGATAGGAAAGCTGGTGAATTCTTTAAAACCACTGAGTTGCAACCAAATGGTAGTATTTACCAATATCCAAATCTTTAGGATCCTAGTCTAGTCCTCTTTCTTCTATAGCATGTAGCCTCCCACCCCACCTTTTGGAGGTGTAGCATTAGTAAAAGTAAGACTTACTAATGGGTAGAAAATTAAACAGCAGCCCAAAGAGGCAGGGTAATAATTGTACTTTTCAAAATTCATGAGATATGGCTTAGAAATGTTGTTATTAAAGGAGAAAACCAGACCAAAGGAATGGCAAAGAATTGCAACTAAAGTTTCAACATGAAGTAAATAATTGCAAGGGAAAAAAAGCTTGTTATGTTTCTATACAAAAATAACTCAATTAGCCAAAGTCACTTATAAATAATTGAAATAATTGACTGCATTCTCTTGTCTTCATCCTCCAATTCCTTACCAGGCTTTTTCTTTTATTAATTATCTTTACTCAAGAAAATAATTTTGTTAACCAAACCCAAAGTACTAAGAAAAAAATCTTGAAAAATATTTATATTGTTATCTTTGATATTATATATATTATTTGCTTCTTCAAAAAATGGATTTTCATCTCTGGTAGGTTGCATACACTGTTAGCATGCAATTGAGGGATGGTAGCAGTAGCAGAACATAAGATTGCAATTAATAATACCAAAAAAAATCACATATTTGTTCTGTGTATGTTAACATTCCTATAATTGCTGTGTTAGTAATATAACATATGAACTATATAACTTTGAGAACAATGGGAAAGGGTTTGTAAACCAGCAAGTGAATTCCAAACTGGAAGTCCAGGAACCATGATCCAATTGTGCATTCCCTAATATTCTCACTGGAAATATAGACACTAACAAACACAATAAACAAAGTCATAACATAGGCAAAACATAAATTTTATTTCTAAGGCAGATTTAAAACTCTGCTAATGAAAAAAAAAGCTCTGCTAATGAAAATTACTTAGAAAGATGATGTTAAAATCTAGCAGTGGGACTGGAATAAAATTTAACAATTTTATGATTTTCTTTTACAAAATTGTCTTAAACCTTGGTACCTTGTACCATCTGTTACCTAAAAAAAGCTAACAAGGAGGCACCTGGGTGGCTCAGTTTGTTAAGTGTCTGAATCTTGGTGTCACCTCAGGTCCTGATCTCATGGGTCATGAGATCAAGCCTCGAGTTGGGCTTTGTGCTCGGTGGGAGCCTGTTGGATATTCTCTCCTTCTGCCCCTTCCCCTGTTTGCTGTCTCTCTATTTCTCTCTCAAAAATAAGCAAATACATCTTTAAAAGAATAAAAATAAATAAAAGTAAATTTTAAAAGCTAGCGGGGTCAGAGTTAATGCAAAATAGAAAATGGGTGCTTGTGCTTATTTCAAGGATATGAATAAATATATTGCATATAGCTAGTATATATCATGGAATTCTAAAGTCATGTCATGGATTTTGGGTGTCCCACATGAACAAGTTACCAAAGCATCAATTTCAGAAAGAAAGAATATTTTTAAATATATATGTATTATATACATAAGTATATATATACATACACATATGCAAGTTATAGAGATTTTAAGATTTTTATATGAAAACTTACATTAACAGTTATCATCCAATACATTTCACATGACATGGGGAAGTACCTGTTGTCACTGAACATTCATTATATCCTTGAACAGAAAGTGGAATCCACTTGAGTGCCTTGACCACAGAATTCTCTTGTCTGCTTTCTTCAGGAGCCACCATCAGCGTGATCATTAACGTCAACGTGCAAGCTTCTGTCATTGTCTCCGCACTGATCGCCACTCTGTACACACTGGTGGGTGGTCTCTACTCCGTGGCCTACACTGATGTTGTTCAGCTTTTCTGCATCTTCATAGGCCTGGTAAGTGGAACCAGTCACAGACTTTCTTCTTTTACTTTCTTCTCCTTCTTCTTTCTAAACGGTAATGTGGCATTTTATATGAACTCAGCAAAAATTAATAGAAATGTTATTTTCCATCATGAGTAATACATAGTAAGTCATGTACCATTTGAAATTTCAAATTTCTCAGCAAATTAATTGGACAAAAAACTGTAGTCATTTTCTTGTTTTTTGACAGAAAATATCCTCTCAGTTTAATTCTTAGAAAGGTCTAGAGCTTCCTTTCCTTCATGCCTACATTTGAGGGAAACCTACGTGTGCCCTTCCTTGAGTTTGAAGGCAACACATTTTACTCAGAGTTAAAATGTCACTGAGCGGGGAGCCCAATGTGGGGCTCAATCCAAGGACCTAAGGATCATGACCTGAGCTGAAGGCAGATGCTTAACTGACTGAGCCACCCAGGCACCCCCTACATTGGTCTCTTAACCTTTCCCTGTAATCATTTTAATTGATCCATAAGACTGCTCATAAGACGGAAATTATCCCATTCAAAAAACTGTGGGTTTCAATATTAATCTTTACTATTTGGGCGGTCTAAAAACAAAGAAAATGTTTAATTATATAAGGCACTAACAAAATTTATCATGTATTGCTTTTAAGTCCTAAAGTAGATTATGTAATCTATGTGTGTTTTATTCAGTAAAAAGTACTGTATAATTATGAGACATATTATTGATAGTACATTAAAAGTGTTTTTGTGTATTATGAACACATTTTAGTCAATGATGAGCCTTTGCAAACTCAACATCTTAAATGTGAAGACTGTATTATTACACATATAATAATATCCAACATCTAGGACATATCCAAGAAAATGGCGTGAGCACTCCATGCTGGGCACTGTAGTGAGTTCATACACATGATTGTTATCCCAGCTGTGCAGCCTGTAGAGCCAGTTCCCTTGGAGAGAGGCCACGGAGAGAAGAAGCTGAGACCGCACATCATGACTCCCTTCTCATGGATAATTAAAGCACCCTTTGAGCCTTCTCTTTTTTCCTTCTTTTTCTCAGAAAGAAAAGCTCTTTATTTTCATGCTTACACTAGACAGAAATGAAAAATGAAGTCAACTCTCATATTCATTTTTTTTATTTTCTAGCATCTTCAATAATGGGAAGAAATTTTTAAACGAATGGACTACAACTAAAATTACAGCTTAGCCATAAACTGACATATGCTAGCAATGATCACAACATTTCCTCTTTTTCCCTTAGCATCTGTGTGCATGTCATGGAATCTTTCACTAGTAGCTTTGTTGAATTCAAGTCAATTTAATTTGCTCAATGACTCCTATTTTCTTATTTTTAAATTGTCAGAAGCAGGTGGACAGTGCTGAAATTCAGAATTCTCCTTAGCATCATCATAAACTTCCAGAAATAGATGTCTGTTCGGAACATTGGAAGCAAGTTTGGTTTGGCAATGACAGATCTCTTAGCTGATGCACTTGGTATTTTAAGAAAGGCAATGCTGTGGCACCTGGGTGGCTCAGGCAGTTAAGAGTCTGCCTTCAGCTCAGGTCATGATCTCAGGGTCCTGGGATTGAGCCCCACATTGGGCTCTCTGCTCGGCGGGGAGCCTGCTTCCCCCTCTCTCTCTGCCTGCCTCTCTGCCTACTTGTGATCTCTCTGTCAAATAAATAAATAAAATCTTTTTTTTAGAAAAGAAAGAAAGTAGCTGGGCACCTGGGTGGGTCAGTGGGTTAAGCCTCTGCCTTAGGCTCAGGTCATGATCTCAGGGTCCTGGGATCAGGCCCCGCATCGCATCGCATGGGGCTCTCTGTTCAGCGGGGAGCCTGCTTTCCCCTCTCTCTCTGCCTGCTGCTCTGCCTGCTTGTGATCTCTCTGTCAAATAAATAAATTTAAAAAAAAAAGAAAGAAAGAAAGACAATGCCAGGGGATGAAGCTATTTATTGATGATATATGTAATTTCTCATTGCCTTTCATGAGACCAGAACTTAAAATACACAGGGATATAAATCAAGCATGCCAGCATAAAGGTGATGGGACAAATAGCTGTGGGGACAGATGTTAAAGTGGTTTTCTTCTACAAAAGGTGACTAAACTGATGAGGAATCGAGTTGTCTTGGTTACTAGTTAAGAGACTATTGACTTGACTAAGTAAAAGGCCAACCTTGGTTTGTTTTCCAAGCTGCAAATGGCTATACATGCATACATAATTAATGAATCAATTCACACCTTAAACTATCTCCTTTTCTCAAATTCTCCAATACTGTTGATTTTATCACCATCCTTGGAGCTCCACCACTATAAACTTGAAGTTCATCTGTTCATTTTCTCTCTCTCATCTCTTCCTGCTGTAATCTAAGGGTTCCTCAATCTCCCTTCAGAACCCTTTTCAGTACCAGTGTCTTTCCATTTCCAATATGATGGCTCTATTTAAGGCTTTCATCTGGGTCATATCAGTGCACCTACTATTTCTCCTGACTCCTCCTTCTCCTAAGCTCACTATTCACATCTACGATATTAAAATGCAGATGAAATCTACTAAAATCTTTTTACAACTCAGGAAAAATGCCTCTAGCTTCCAATTGCTGCAGAACAAAATATAGATCCCTTTGCTTTCAATTCAAATTTCTTGCCATGTGTTTATGTTTATCTACCCCATTTCCCTAAGCCACTCCCATGCCAGCACACCTTGTCACGCAAAAGATCTGAGGGCTCACCCCATATGCTCTCGTCTTTACCTTGTTCCACATAGAAGGCCTCCCCATTCTATTCCTTATTCTTTATTAGCACTGGGATCATCCTTGGAGTTTTGTCTCACCCACCAAATTCTCAATCAGATCTTTCCTTGTCACTTTAATAAACGGACATCTTTCTCTAATTCAAAGAAAACATGAAAAGTTTGTATATCGATATACTTAAAGTTCTTAAATTTAATGTTTTCTTCCCAAAGGTTGGCTGACTGCTTCTATAACTGATAGGACATGGTGTGAATAAATGCAGGTATAGATAATATGTTACTCTAACTTTTTAAATCAGAATTTCATGGCGTCCCACAAAGAACGTGATTCCAGGTTCTTCTCTGTCTGAACAGAAGGAAAAACTGAGCTGTGTGGTCTGTGGAAAAAATAAAACGTGTGGCAAAAGTCGTAGCTTAACTCTGTCACGCCCCTCTTTGGTTGCAGTGGATCAGCGTCCCTTTTGCCCTGTCACATTCTGCAGTTACTGACATTGGGTACACTGCTCTGCATACCAAGTATCAAAAGCCTTGGCTGGGGACCATTGAATCATTTGAAGTCTACACTTGGCTTGATAGTTTTCTGCTGTTGGTAAGTAATGCCCTTACCTGAGGACTGCAATCTCATTTTTCCTAAAATCAAATGCATTTTTAAGATTTAAGGCTTGTATGTAAATTTCACCTACTGGCTCACATCTCTTTCTGCATTGACTGCTTCTTGTTGGAAGATGGGGCCACTTACTATGGCAGCTGACTAGTGTCAAAGTGGAGAGAAAGTGAAGCCTTAAAGGGAGAATGTCTATGGTGTGATGTATGGTGTATCCATATTTCTGTTGGGCTGTACGTCAGGAACAGCATGCCCTACCCCCAGGGACTTCCCCAACCTGGGGCCACGCCATCTGAAAGTTTTAATTTGTATTTCGGAGTAAGTAACCCGTTTAGTCCCTAATTTCTGATAAGCAAATTATTGTCAAAAGGCCTTTAGTGCACATAGAAGTTGGGAAAAGAGGTGTCATTCAAGAAAGATGCCGAGAAAGAAGTGCTGGGAAGTCAGAGACAGCTTAGGAATATGCAGAAATTTGGGGTGAAGGTGTTGGTAGTGAGATGTGGGGCACAGAAACAATTAAGGCAGATCACAGATTGACAGAAGAGGGGAAAGCCAAAAGAACCTGCCAGATTTTGTGATTTTGCTAACTGGAGGGATTACTTACAAAAATAAAACATTGTATTTAATTTCAAAATAAATAGATTAATGTTTATATCAAAGTGAAGGGGAAATTATTTTTGTTTCCTTTTTAAAGGGCTCATGATATTTTGTGATTTCACTTTGTATTTGTTGCACTTTGCTAAATTTCAGCACTTAAAGTCGATGTGTCTGTCCCAATAGAAAAATTCCTGGTAAGGGGCTCAGTGGGTTAAGCCTCTGCCTTGGGTTCAGGTCATGATCCCAGGGTCCTGGGATCGAGCCCCACATCGGCTCTCTGCTCGGCAGGGAGCCTGCTTCCCTCCTCCCTCTCTGCCTGCCTCTCTGCCTACTTGTGATCTCCATCTGTTAAATAAATAAATAAAATCTTTAAAAAAAAAAAAGAAAGAAGAAAGAAAGAAAGAAAGAAAGAAAGAAAGAAAGAAAGAAAGAAAGAAAGAAAGAAAGAAAAAGAAAAATTCCTGGTAAGAAGACAGGAAAACATGTAAACAGTTTGTGTCCAGTGGTGGGGTGAGGGCAGAGCTTCTTTCCCAAGGATTGTTAAGAAATGTATTGGCTGACACTTTTCTAGAATGGCTTATAATTATGAATTGAATGGAGAAAAGAGTTAAATATAACATGTATGTGAAATTATATCTGCATGGCAGGGTATATTTATGATGATATGGAGGAGATTATGGCACTCAGAGAAGATAGAAGAAGTCTGTTGATAATCACACCCTTGTCTGAGAGATGTATTGAAATAAAGCATCAAGACCCTGAAGTCATTTCTCCTACACTATACTTTGGTCCTCAGATTTATTAATCTTCAAAATAATGCATTATATCCAATGACTGCTAAAGTTTCTTCCATCCCCCCAAATTATATGGCCAAGTCCTGTTCATTCTTCAAAATGTAGCGTAAGTGGTAGTGAAATAGTAGATGTTGAATGAATGAGTGAGTGAACTGTAGAAGTATGCCAAGAAATGTTTCACCAAGGGTCTCTGATCTTCCAACTGTCTCTCTGAACTTCCACTTGTCATAAGTGACTTGTGGAGTCTTGCTCTGGATCCTTCTGAGGGATCTCCCAGCCCCACCTTGAACCTGCTCGCTGATAGCAATCCTCCCCTGGCCTGTTGTGGTAGCCCTTCACCAGTCTCCATGCAGCAGCCCACCTGCATCTCACTTGTCCTAATCCATCTTCCACCTTTGATGTCAGGGCTTCTGTTTGTCTGTGGAGGTCAGATTTTACCTTACTTACAAAGGTCTGATGACTTAAATATCCAGAGGGATTGGCATGTAAAATTAGAGTGTATCAATTCATACAGGCATTGAAATTATTGGTGAATATTCATTGGCCTAGAAAATGTTAGTGATATTCATACAGTCCTGACTTGTAATGGTTTGACTTAACAGGTTTTCAACTTTGCAGTGGTGAGAAGGTGATAGCATTCAGTAGAAATCATACTAGCAGTATGTGGTATGATCCTCTCTCATTGTGCTGGGCACCAGCAGCCAGCCACAGCTCCCAGTCAGCCATGAGGGTGAACAACAGATACACTGGCAAACATTCTGAACCCATACACCAAGATGCTATTCACTTTAGGTATAGTATTCACCGAATTATATAAAATAATCAAGACTTCATTATAAAGTATCTAACATTTATGTTAAATGACTTGCCAAACTAGGCTAATGTCCGTGTTCTAAGCACGTTAAGGTAGGCTAGGTTGAGCTATGATGTTCAATAGTTTAGGTGTATTAAATGCATTTTGGATTTTGACTTCAGATTTTTTCAGCTTACGATGGGTTTATTGAGATGTAACACCAACGTAAGTCAAGGAAGATCTATATTGATTAACAAGTTACAAACCAAAGGAAAAGTTTTGGAAGAATATAGACTTGAGGCATGGATTATGAATTTTAGAATTTCTTCTTTTACTTTTTTTTTTTTAACTTTTGAACATGTATAGCTTTTATATGAGGAGATTATCCTGGAATCAATACATGACAAGCACTCTTAGCACAGAGGTGAAAGTGATAAACAATACATCCCAGAATTTAGAGCCCAGTGAGAGAAGACAGGCAATTAAAGAAACAGCTTCAGTACATTGGAATATGGAAATTCATTCACCAGTTCACTCATTCATATGATAAGTATTTATTGAACACCGACTCTAAGCAAGTCAAAGAACCAGGGCTGTAATCATGGGAAAGGTATTCCCCAGCCTCCTCTTTAGCCACTCCCACACACCCTAACCTTTAATTAAACTAAAGAAACAGTGGTCTCAGAGCTGTTTCATTGCTTTTTTTCTTTCTTCCTTTTTCACACTGAATTCTCTGCTAGGTGCTCTTTTCTCTCTCCATCTCTACCTTGTGATAACCTCTCAGTGCTTAAGAACTGACTCCATGTCAATTCTGTAGGTTTCCCTGATTACTATGCAGTTGTCCTTCCTCCCACTTTTCCCCCTGCTGTTACCCCTAATTAATTAATTTTTCTCAATTTTCTTCCCATTCATACCTCCTTATAGAAGGCAACAAATTATATTACAGTTCACTGTCTCCAAAACTTATATATATATATATATATATATATATATATATATATATATATCAATAAGAATTTTAAGCATACTCCCGATGTAGGTATGTGTAGTTATGAATTACTTACACGTAGTGTACTAATATGTTATATCATTTAATTGAAAAAGTAACATGTAAGTATGAGGTAAAATTGAGTATAAATAGAAATTCTAATATTTCCTTTAATGCTCTTTATATTGTCTTGAGCACCCTGCACACCCTGCTTTGGAAAACGCTGCATTTCATTGAATCTTCCAGTGAACAGGGAGGTCCAGAGCAAGAACCATTCCCCTCAAAACCATCCTACTACCTGGTCCAGAAATATTTATTGGGTTTTATTAATTCAAATTAAAGTTACTCCTTTCAGAATCTTAATATTTTTGAAAAATAATTATGATGGTTAAAACCTCCAGGTGAAAACAAATTGAAGGGTTCTGGATAGTTGTAGTGCAGTTTGAAGTAGGTAAATTAAAGAATAGAAAAGATCGGGCTATGTAATGATGAAGGAAAAAACTTCAGAAAATTCTGCACAGTTGAAAACAGGACAATGACGTGATTGCAATTGAGGTGTTTGGCAGGTAGGACCATTTATGGTACATAAGAATCATACATAGGACTATTGTGAATGTGACTATAAAAAAATCTTATTTAAAAATACCTAATACATATTGCTTGGCTCCAATTCATTCTGAGTCCCTTTTGTTCCCATGCAGATGCTGGGTGGAATCCCATGGCAAGCCTACTTCCAGAGGGTCCTCTCTTCATCCTCAGCCACTTATGCTCAGGTGCTGTCTTTCCTGGCAGCTTTTGGATGCCTGGTGATGGCTCTACCAGCCATACTCATTGGGGCCATTGGAGCATCAACAGGTATATCTCTTGCAACTTCACTAACTGACCCACTGAGATTTCACTGAAATAACCAATTACCACCCAGCTGCCCTCCCTCTCTCACTTGCCCTCTTACCTCCACTTAGTTGAATGTTTCTCATCATATTCATATAGAGACCTTTATTATAGCATTCAAGTAATTGTATCATAGCTCAGTGTCTCCATTTTTTTAATGCTCTCCCCACCAATAAAACATATGTGGGCATACTCCTTCATGTTGATATACTTATCAATTGTGTATATGTAATTCTGTCAACAGTGGTTCTCAACAAAAGTACACATTGACATCATCTGGGGAGGAGAAGAGATGCTTTAAAAAATAGCTCTTTCTATCCTACTCCACAGGGATTTTATTTTAATAATATAAGGTGGAGCCAGAGACCAGGGTTTTTTTTAAAGCCCCTTGGTTGGTCAAACTTAACCTGATTTGAAATCTACTGGCCTAGAAATTTAATGACACCTAAAGACCAGTTTGAACTTGAGATTTTTGCTTTACATTTGTAATTGTTTGTTAATTAAGAGTTTTCTTTCTTGGAGAAATAAATCAATAAGTGCGCAGGTAAAGGTAAAGTTAAAGCACTGGGACTTAGGGAATAATTTATTCAAATTTGGTAAAAAGATCATCATAAGATGCTTATCTCCCAGTTAGCCTCTATCTAAAACATTTTTTAAATCTCACCATTAATTTAACTGAAATTGTTAATTATTCCTGACACTTACATATCTATGTTATATAACTTCCATGAGCATTCATGAAAATACATCACAGTAACCCAAATTCAAAGAATTCCTGTAGGTAGATATCATTAAAACAAACTAAAGAAGTTTGCCCTTCACTCCGCTATGTTTTGTAGAGAAGATACAGGGTGATAAACTCACGGCTATTTTGATTTTCAATTAATAGAGCTACTTATTGGATTATGTAACCTTTACAAGAGCAGTCATGGTTCATAGAGTATATTTTAGATTCCAATTGTTCCTTCATGACATAAACAAACACTTAAAAAGATGACTGACAAAGGTGATTGTGTGCCTTTGAGTAAAAGATAGCACTTATGTCACAATCAGAAAACAGATCTGACTTCTGTCTGTGTATGGGTGTGCCTGTGTGTGTGTGTGTGTGTGTGTGTTGTAGGACAACAGACAGAAAAAACCAATGTGAACTCTATTTTTTTCTTGGATTGAGTACACATTCTTGCTTGTTATTTCTGGCACCATAATAGTCTCAATGAATGCTATAAAATTGGCTTCAACAAAGCGTAGCTTTGAACAACCGTAGTAGAAAATGGAGGAAGAAAAAAGTGGTAAGATCCAAGGGAAACTACTCTTATTTGGTCCTGGAATTATACCATCAAAGTTCAGCAAATAAAAAAGGAGCTATATTAATGTACATTTAAAGATTCCATTGTATTCTTCAGTACACAATAGTATGGGGGCGCCTGGGTGGCTCAGTGGGTTAAGGCCTCTGCCTTCGGCTCAGGTCATGGTCCCAGTGTCCTGGGATCGAGCCCCACATCGGGCTCTCTGCTCAGCAGGGAACCTGCCTCCTCCTCTCTCTCTCTCTGCCTGCCTCTCTGCCTACTTGTGATCTCTGTCAAATTAATAAATAAAATCTTAAAAAAAAAAGAATTATGTTCAGTACACAATAGTATGAGTAAATAGCACTGGGTGTTATACCCAAACAATGAAGCATGGAACACTACATCAAAAATTAATGATGTACTATATGGTGATGAATATAACACAATAAAAAAAAGAACTATATATTCAAAGATAAACTTATTTTTTTGTTTGTTTTCACCATGATTTTCTCTATCTTGCATGGTGCACAAGATATTTTTGTACCCTTTACAATAAAGTCTTAATGGCCATTTTCTACTTAATAAGAAAAAAACAGATTAATTAGCACAATGCAGAATTTCACCAGCTAAAAAGTCAGTTTGAAGATGTAATTTCTTCTATGAATTCTACAGTTCAGCAGACCAACTCATCATAAAATGTAAATAATCTTATACCTTATTTTACTAGTGGTTCATCTCAGATTTTGTTGAAAAAGAATAATATTAATGTTGGTGAGTCTTCAACTGGTAATGGATAGGTTTGTGTAAGTCAAAACACTCAGGTTTTTGGCTGCATTTAAAAGAATAATGGTAAATTTTGGAAAATAATGCTGACAGTGTTTAATTGATCATGCAACTCCTTCAATTACGATAAAAAGACATAAACTTTCTTAAACAAAAAATACAGTGTCTTATTTTCTTTGTAGTATCAATATCAGATATAATTTCTAAGTTTCAAGTGTAAAAACTTGAAAGCACATTTTCTTATTTTATTTTTTTCAAAAACCTTTTTATATATTTGAAGAAACTGCATGTTGTTTACTTTGGCTTTGTGGTTTTAAAAAAATTTTCAGGCACATATATATTATTTATTGTATAAAAATGTAGTGGTTGTATAATTTATGTATGTAATTTCTAAATCAGCTTCACATTGTTATTTTGTGAGATAAAATAAACTGGTAACACTCTTTAATAAAATTTTACTCCAAAGGTTAATATATTGCACTAACTATAATTTGGTGACTTCTCAGACTTGGCAAATAGTATCATCATTCAGACCTATGCTATCAGAATCTTTCAGGATATTCTGCATTGTAAAGGCATGCCTGAGACATCCCAATGTTCATTAAGGTTTGTGAACCACTGAATGAATCCAATGATGATTCTTCCTTTTACTTCTTGCTTTCATAAAATCAAGCACTTGCCATTTTCTGCCCATTTCTCTCTTATCCTCCCAATGTCAAACTTGCTTTTAACATTGTTTTTAACAGCCTGGCCCACAGACTTAGAGATGTGCTGCAAACTGTTGTCTGGGCAACTCTGGTGCCCATTCCCTCCTGTTTCCTTTGAGACTTTTTCTATCTTTTATGTTTTGAGTCCCTTTACCCAGATTCCAAAATCCTTCTCAAGTGCAGTCTCATACTTGCACTTTCTACTTGATAAACAAGGACTTTCCTTTATCTACCACGCCTCCTGTTTCCAATAAGTGGAATCCAATGCAAGAAGGAATTTAGTTGGGGGAAAAATAATGCTGAGGGTTCTCCAAAACCAAGTTTATATACAGGAAGAGGATGGGTGAGAATATCTCCACTATTGCCTAAACATTAAATCATGTGTGACTGAGGCCTGGATCACTAAGTGTCCTCTCACATCTCCAACTGATTGAAGAAATACTCCATGCTTTTGTCTTATAACATTTGTGTTCTGTGATTCTGTACAATTTTATGTCATAATTACAGAAGAGAAATAGGTAATAACTAGGTAGATAAGTAGATAGATAACTGATGATTGAAAGATAGATAGGCAGATGATAGATGATGATTCATAGATGATTAGTAAATAGATAGATGATAGATAGACAGATAGATAGATAGATAGATAACAGGTCTTATGAATTAGACTAAGTGTACCCAAACCCATTAGAAGCCAGAATTATATATAAGACAATGGACTTCCCACCCACTTAGACCAACATACCTAGTTAGATTTCTAGACCAAATTATAGACTTCTCCTCTAATTAGACTTATTAATACATTCTGAATTTCAAAATCTCTTAGTAGATAGGATGACCCCCAGATGGTTAAAGAACATACGGTTCTTTGGATGTTTTTATATTTGTTTTTTTTTCTGTTCAACAGACTGGAACCAGACTTCATATGGGCCTCTAGATCCCAAAGACAACGATGAAGCGGACATGATTTTACCAATTGTTCTGAAGTACCTCTGCCCTGTGTACATTTCTTTCTTTGGTCTTGGTGCAGTTTCTGCTGCTGTTATGTCCTCAGCAGATTCTTCCATCTTGTCAGCAAGTTCCATGTTTGCCCGGAACATCTACCAGCTTTCGTTCAGACAAAATGTAAGAATGTTTTTTTCAGACGTAACATTATTGTTGTTTTGTTGTTGTTGCTGTCACCTTTATGTTTATTATGTCTATAGTATTATATATGTAGTAATATCCTATATTAAAATCAGAGCCTAGTTTGATTAAGCACACAAGGTTAAATAATGCTGAATTTTATTTAAGCTGTACATAAACATTTTTAATGCATGTTATCATTCATGTTCGTATGGAAGGGAACATATCAACACTAGTATTTTTTGAGAGGTACATTCATATTGCTATAATTTACATTTCTTGTCTTTCTAATGAAAGAGTCATGAAACCTAAAATATCAAAAAACTTTGAGTTTAATCAAGTTTGAAGCAGAACATAGTGAGCACATTATTTTGTGGGCATTTGTGCAGTTGAACTCCCAAGTCTACATCGGTAAGAAAATTGCCTCTCGGTGTGATTGACATGACTGAATCAAGTCAGTGCAGAGCAGCACTGTTGTGTCACTGAGGAGCCAATAGCCTTATTCACCTTCCTCCTTCACTAAGGCTTTGTCTTTCTAGTTTTTCTAGGTCATAGCGAACAAAATGGTCCCACTTGTTTTTAAGGTGGCTAGACTTAAAGATGGTGGGACTCCCAGGAGACAGCAAGCAAGATTGAGCCATGCTTTCTCACAGCCACCTAGGAATTATTCCTTAATATGTAAAGTCCTTTATGTGAAGTCCTTTCTTGCATTATTATTCCCCTACGACGGCACAGTAGCTCACGCCCCTCTCCCATGCACATTCAGGGAAACGTGTAGCTGCCCTTGCTTCCACACATGGCACACAGAAACCCCTCCCAAAGGCCCACCAGAGAGGCCACCTAGATGGCTTACTTCCTCTGCTGTGGTTTAGGCTGATTTTGCCCATGCTGAACTGTATGAACCAGGGGAATTTTTAGACCAGTTTTAAAGCTCAGAGAGGCATCTCACTCTTCACCTAAATGAACCAGCGCACTGAAAAGCTGTCACTGTGGCAATTTCTTGCAGGCATCAGACAAAGAAATCATCTGGGTCATGAGAATCACGGTGTTTGTGTTTGGAGCGTCCGCCACAGCCATGGCCTTACTCACGAAGACCGTGTACGGGCTCTGGTACCTCAGCTCAGACCTCGTTTACATCATCATCTTCCCCCAGCTGCTCTGTGTGCTCTTCGTCAAGGGAACCAACACGTACGGGGCTGTGGCGGGTTACGTGTCTGGCCTTTTCCTGAGAATCACTGGCGGGGAGCCATATCTGTACCTTCAGCCCTTGATCTTTTACCCTGGTTACTACTCTGATAAGAACGGCATATATAATCAGAGATTCCCATTTAAAACCCTCGCCATGATTACCTCGTTCTTATCCAACATTTGCATCTCCTATCTAGCCAAATACCTATTTGAAAGTGGAAGCTTGCCTCCCAAATTAGATGTGTTTGATGCTGTTGTTGCAAGGCACAGTGAAGAAAACATGGATAAGACGATTCTGGTCAAAAATGAAAATATTAAATTGGATGAACTTGCCCCTGTGAAGCCCCGACAAAGCCTAACTCTCAGCTCCACGTTTACCAATAAGGAGGCCTTCGTCGACATCGACTCCAGCCCAGAAGGGTCTGGGACTGAAGATAACGCTTAATGACACCATTCAAATAAAATACTGCTTTCACAAACTGAGTACCACGGCAGGCTAGTCCGGGAGGGATGGATTGCAGCATATAAAAAATATACTTTCAAAGTGAACAGCATTCAGGAGGACAAAAATCCATATAGAAGTGCAATTGCACAAATGCAAGCCGAGCGAGAAGGAAGCATCTGTGAAAGCAACAGCTTGCTTTCTCATCAATATTTCTCATCGTCACTCGATTCTGATCTAGTTAGTTTTCTTAAGTATTCAAAATTGAATTAAGCCCCCCTCAAAGAACAGAGGGCCAAGCAGAGTATTTATTGTTATTCTGAAGAGAAAAAAAAAAGTAGATAAGAGCCAAGGAATTTAGGTGGACTTGATCAAGACCTTGTCTACTAATGCACTAGTGGGTCTAGTTTATTGTCACAGCGAAGTCAGGAGAGGAACTTGCCATCACTCCAATAAATGGTGCAACAAATTAACCACTGATGTGATGATTAATTCCTTCTTTCAGGTTCTTAACTAGAACATTTGCTGAATATGCAATTCGTTTCTCTTTTGGTAGTGGCACGTATTATTCTGAGCACAGACAAAGCAAACACATTAAAAATATTGTGTTGTGTCATTTCTTTAGGTACAAGGTAATAGAAAAGTAGAATCCATCTTTGTAGAGGAGCACTATTTCCTTGGAGTGTGTCTAGCAGCTACCATATGCATTGAGACACGTACCTGGAGGATGGAAGTCATGATAATTCGGCAACCTTAAAGCAGTAAATCAAGAAGGCCATTAAGCAGAAAGTGATAGGAAGAAGAGTGGGTTTTCGCCTTCCTCTGAAGCTTTTGTAGTTTTGCTTCATGATAAAAGAAGTAATGTCTTGGCTTCCTATCTAACCTGGTACTGGAAGTAAAATTGAGCCATATAGAAGGTGAGGTAGCAGCATAGCACCAGTTAAGGTTAATGAGAGATAAACAGCACCTCCTGATAAAACTAAAAAAACAAAACTCACTTAATTTTGGACATTCATTCATGGGGATGATTTAGTGTCAAGAGAGTGACTCTGCGGCAATTCTTGCAAAAGCCAGTCTTAGGTACTAGACAAATCACCACTACAGAGAGTAGATAGTGAATTTTAAAATGCAGAAGAAAGCAGAAAGTAAAAATAAGTCCTAAGGGGAAAAAGCCATCAATTTGAACATTTGGTGTCCACATAACTTTCATGAGGTTGGTCATTAAATATTACTTTTCTCCTTTTCTGGAGTTAAAAAATACACATGTGTGTAAATATATATATGCAATTGTTTGTATCCACTTTAGAATTTAAAATTCTTTCTCAGAGGCCACATTATAGAAATAACCAGAGCTGAGTCTATAAAAGCAGAGTGAATTGATGAGCTAAAATATGATCTGAGCATTTGATCCAATAAGGAAAGGCAACATGACTTATTTAAACTAAAGCACATTGTCCAAAAACATTTGTTTTGCAATTTATAGACAAAATAAAGTTAATTCCGTGTTCAACATTAAGTATAAAAGTTGTATCCAGGAAGCTAGAATTCCTATTCAGTAAATTATAATTGTCTAAAAGCATCAAATAATGCATCTCTTTGTTATTAAATGAGTTAAATTCACAGGGTAATTTTTTAAAATATGAATTAAATAATTTTACATGTTATAATGTCCCATACTTTAATGCTTTATAAAAGCTTGATGGAGAATATGATGTTGCATTCAGAATCTTTATAGAACATCATCTATGTTTAAGTGAAAAGAAAATTCCTTTCACTTTTCTGTTTGTTCAGAATTTTCTTTACACCTAGTGCCCAATGGAGTACTTGGAAGGAGCACATTTTTGGAAATGGTAAGGGTGGGAATCCCAAGATTCTACGACATGGATGGAGAGAAGAACCCAGGGCAGGAAGCTCACAAAGGACAAAGTACAATGATGGAAACATTTGGCACGGAAGTGATGACTTGCTGGGGACTGCTGTTCCTGGTACCTCTGATCCTTCAGATGTGCCATGCTCTCCAACACATCGCCTGAATAATTGTTTTGATGCACTCCATCACCCTGAGTTTTTGTTTCAACCTATTAAGGTGGCGACTTCCATGGAAAACATCACCCATGTTATAATAAAATATAACAGGGATTTAGTCTCTTTGAAGATGTTGTAGTTTACAATTTTACTGGGCAACAGTTGTCCAAATATGTTCAGATATGTGCAATAACCATATTTAAATTCAGTGAAATAGAATAAATATTAACAGTGAAAATTTCTTCCATTCCATTCATTTTGTAATAATAGAAAGATAAAGCAGGGGAAAGGGTTTACCTTGTCCAAAATATAAAAAACTAAATCGCTTAAATAATATACTAAGTCACTTAAATAATATAAGCCAATAAATAATGCCTTATTTTTATTTCATGTGTTGTTTCATACCTACTCTCAAACTAAATTTACGAAAAAGCTAGTTTAGTATAAAATCCACTAATAAATATGCTAAATATTAGTAAGATGATTTTTTAAAAGGACAAAAAATGTTGATCAGAAGGAATGAAACAATGATCACAGGGTTGCTAGGCACATTCACACGCACATTTTCCCATTTCCAAGGAAGGAACAAAGTTGTGACTCTCAGAAGACAATGCCTTATGCTCATCTCTGCTCTGTTTTGACATCACGGGTAATGCTGGTGGCTTTGTATTTTTCCAGCTTCACTCTGGATCTAATTTTCAAAAACCCATTCTCTGAAAATAAAACAACAGAAACGTTTTAGACACTGGCTATATTAACCTCTGGAGGCAATACCTGTGGATAAAACATTAGGATAAAACACATATTTTATTTTCATACTTCTACAATAATTGTAACATGTTTTTTTGGGTAATTTTAATGTGTTCTTCCCCACACACATATTTTCCAAAACATCAAGCTTGTAGCTGGACTCATAAGTCAACAAGCTTTCAAACACTCAATGTCAAAATGCAACTTTGTTGCTATTGTTAAAAGTAATGAATTTTATGTGAATGTCAAATGAATGTAAGCTTGAAATAAGTGAATCTACTCTAATGGCTATTAGCTGTTTTATTTGGAAATAATGAATTGGCATTGTATTTTAACATGAAGTGTGACTTTTTTTTAGTCTCTGAGAAAATTTATTCCTGCATAATGTATAATTTATTGTAAGTTTGCTACTGAACAGACAGATACATATAATGGTTCTAAACATATATTTTTGTCTGTCCAAATATTATATAAACTGTGTTTAAAATAAGTAGATTTGCAGCTATACATGTAAATGTTTTCAATGTAATGGTATTGTATTAAATTGTGCTGGTGCAATTCAGGAGATCATTGTCCAGGCTTGGCTTTTTGCGGCCCTCTCTTAAAACAAATATAAGTGGTGCTTGGAGACAATTATGGAATGGAATTAAAATAAACCATCTCACTGCTGGAACATATAAAAATATGAAATGGAAAAGTTTCACCTTGCATAAATCTTAAGGAAATATATGATATTATATCTCAAGAAATATGAATTGCTATTCCTGGAAAAGAAGTTCTGTCACTGCACGCAGGCCTTTCTTTGAGTCAAGCATATCAGTAGACAGAATATCTATTCCATAAATATCAAAATATCTGCATCTTAAAAACCAAAGAGCTGTCTGATAATTACTGATCTAGGATACACAAGCAATCACTAAGTAAAGAACTGTCTTCATTATGTTCTATATATATTCTTTATGTATCTTACTAACTCTCTCTAAGTGTCTTGAAAAGTATAATTATATGTATCCTCTGAAGAACTTTGCCCCTTACACCTTAATCATAAGCAATTCTGCCTTTGGATATAGAGAGAGAGGAGCGACCTAGAATGAGCTTAAGGATGAATGAAGGAAAGAATAAGTAGTTACAGGAAGAAATATACCAGTTTGTCTGTCATTATGGACACATTTCAGAGATCCTATATTTTGCTTTATCACAAAGCTATACTACAGAGGAAAGTATTCGGAGCTAGAAAAGACAATGTGTATTGGGGCCTGTGTATGCTTTCTTCATTTTAACCCTGGAGTTAAGAGTTTAATTTGATTGTTAGCATTCTCCTCTAAGGAAGATATTCTGAGAGAGGTCCAAAGAATTACAAGATCATGATAAATGATTACTTCTTCACGTTTTATACAATCACCCAAAGAAGAACCCCAAATCAGTAAAAACAGCCAACTTCTAGTATTTAAATTCTTTATAATCAAGAAGTATGTGATAATTTTGTTTTGGTTTTTGGTTGGAAAGCTATGGTTATCTATTTAAAATAAGTAGCACCTTATGTATTTTGAAGCTGTTGATTTATGAATTTTTGAACTAGAAGTAGTTAAAAACATAAACCAGATAGGACCAAAAGGCTAACCATGATAGAATAGTGGATATTAATGAAAGGAATAACTGAAAACAGCCTCCCAGTGGTGTTGCAAAATGCAGCTGGAGTGAGTGAATGGCTTGGACTTAATGGCCTCTGGCCTGATTGCAGCATCACTTAGAAGACAGTAGGTAAGAGTAGAAATGCAGAAGAAGCATGTATGGCTTCAAACAGCAGCTCTGCCTCCGACTGAGGATCACAACAGTCATAGTCTTAGTCAAGGCACTTAACCTCTAAAGCCTTAGTTTTCCAAATGAGAATTGCATTTATCTGTTACTAAGCTGAAATTATAGGATACCTTAAAGGCTATATGGTAGATAGAACACACTTAATAAGTGTAAAGATATGGAACTATAAACCTAGATCTCCACCTTGGATAATTGGACAAAACACATCTAGTTATTTGGGAACTTATTTTGCCTGTCAATCTTGTCATATTCAACTAGTTTTAAGTCTGGATTCTAAATTAAGGATGAAGAAAGAAGAGTTGTCTTTTAAAGTACATTGACATATAGGTTATATTTGCTTTATTTGTCTTTCCAAGAACCCAATGTAGCAGAATTTTAGTGCGGCTCAGCATGCACCACAGTTGTGGTCC